TGCTCGGCTCTTCCCTCCAGCGGGTGGATGGCGGGTGAAGCCGGCAATGCAGGGAGCGGGCAGGCACGGCACGCCAACGGCTGAGCTAGGAGCCCTCGAATACGGGGACTTTGTAACAGAAAGGCCGAGAGACCCTTAACTACACGAGCCAGCGCTACGGGGGCTTCTACAAGAAGTAAGCCGACTCCCTTGAAAGATCAAAAATTAGTAGACGTTTCAGACAGGGTTTGAGGTTTCGACCACTGCTTTTCAATGGCAAAGACTTTGCTAAAGTTAGAGACTGAGGAGGTCAAGCTTTAGGTAACACAAACATTTCCTCTTTGATTAGGGGGAAGACTACTTTACCTTGCCTTTTTTTTTTTTTTTTTTTAAGTAGTAGATTTTAGGTCATCCTTAATTTTTTACTGACAATAAAGAGCAGGTCATTGACCTACATAGAGAGCTATTTTATTTTTCTCCCTCTTGATAACAATGGCCAGAACACCTATGTGCCGGGTTCTTCTATATTCCCCTATACTCGGCAATTCACCATGGGGGCAGGACTTAAAACCTTTGAGCCTCTCAGTGACTGGGATAAAAAAAATTATCTGGGCTTCCTTCCAGCCATTTGAGCTTCAGAATCCATGAGATTTCAACAAAAAGGATATCAGAGCTTTAATCTAGGAGCTTTTTGAAGAGATTTAAAAAAAAAAGTTCCAGTAAAGTTCAGTCTTGCCTTCTTCACTTTAGGAGCTGTTCATGCCAACATCGCCCTATTTAGTAGAGTTCCTCTCCTTGACCTCTTTTTTACAGCAGAGATAATTAACATGGTGGGGTAAGATGAGTCTCTAAATTCACTGCACTCTCTCCCGGTCTCTCTCTCTTTTCCCTCTAACGCTGGGTTGATTAAAGGAGAACAGCTTCATTGGAGCCCTCTCCCCAAAATAAAAATAGCCGAGGGCAAGAGAAGGATTCCCAACTTCCTTGGTGGCACCAGGAGCTGAGCGGGTAGGAGAGCGGGTTCACACTTCCCATGCTTGGGGCAGCTGGCAGGAGGACGAGGCTGGCGCAAAGCCCCCTGTGGCCAGCCGGGCCTGGGAGCCCCTTCCCACCACGGTCACCCCTGATGAGCCTGATGGCCAATGCTACCGCAGGTGCCAGCTGAGCCTTTATTTTACAGCTTTCCTTTAAACTTGGAAAAAATAGCTCTCCAAGACCACACGACTCCCATACAACCTGCCAGCAGGCAGGAGAGCCTACCAGGGGAGGAATCTCCCAGGGTTTTCTTCCTCCAGCCTTTCACCTGAGGAAGAAGGGTTGTCAAGCAGAGGGATGAGGAAACAAGATGCAGCCCTTAGCTATTTGCAGCTTTTACTTACGGCTCAGCGTTGTCCTATTCCCCAGCGCACATTACCTGCTGAGCGAGACAATGGTCAGAGCACCCAAAGACCCTCAAGCTGCCCAGAGCACTTCCAATTTAAGCATCCAGTAGTTACGGACACAGCCATTCATGCATGCAGCTCCTTAAATTAAGCATCTGTCTGTCCCTCAAGCCCGAGGTACCTGCTAATGCAAGGAAAAGGTACCAGCGTTGCCACTCCCATCCCTCAAAATACCATTAGCCACCGACCCTCTCTCTCCCCCTCGTTGTACTAATGCCACCCAACCCTCTCCAAAATTATATTTCTCAAGTACCTTAAACCCAAGGGCATGAAAGGAGTTTTTCCTCACCAGAGCGAACCTTTGCAGTCACTTTTTTGAGCTCTGCCTCCAACATGAGAACCAAAAACAGAGTCGCCTTGTGTCTCCCAGCCTCTAGCCCTGAAGGATGGGAGACAAACTTTGAGATTAGCCAAGGCGGGAGGAGACTCACTGACCAATGGTCTCCGTTCAGAAAATGATGGGGGCAGGGAACAAGTGCAAGACCAGACAACTTGAGGAGACCGCAGCGCAAAATGCTTAGGGGCTGCTACAGGAGGATAGTTCAGGCAGAAGGCAGATCCGGGAGGACTGGACAAGTTGGCCATGGATAGCCACCCTCTTCTGCACTGGGGGTGATGCGACATGGCAAACTCAGGGCTAAGCAAGCACACCCCATTGCTTACTGGTGGCCCTGCATCTCATGGTGATCCTTAGCACCATCAGAAGCAAACTAAAATTTTGTCAAAAAGAAAACACCTGAATTCCTCTATCTGAAACAAATACCTTGCACTGGTCTAGGAGAGGCTGTTCCTGGGCTTCTAAGATTTCCCAAAGGGAAAG